GCAGGGCAGGGTCTGGGGGTGAGGACCCAAAGCGGCTGCAGAACATTCAGAGGAGTACATGAGTCTTCCATGGAATCCAAGAACAAACGTGCCTTCGTGTCTCTGGAGAAAGCGTTGTTCTTTCCCGCACATCTGTGCAGATGAGGACATGCAGATGTTGGGAGGTGGCTGTTTCTGAGAGATGCACCCCTGGCAGGAAACACCGAGTCTCTCGCGATGCTGGGTGCACTGTAACCAAGAGCCACCAAACAGCCGCTGCCCCCTTTCTGTTAGGAAGCCAGTGCGAAGTCTTACTGGTCAAATCAGGCATGCTGGCATTTCTTCCCAGGACAGAGGGTCTGGATCCATCGGGTTGGGCCTTGAAGCAGGAGCCCCCAGGTCTGTTTCCTGGTGCTGATGGGCCACGCACAGCTTCCGTGTGAGAGGGCTTTTTAAAGGTACAGTGTTTGCCCCCCCAGGGGGGCTGCTCTTCGCCGGCCCGCCGTCGTGGGCTGGCGGGCACACTCCTTGTTGGCACAGCTAAACAAAACACATTTGCTTTGTTGGACTGCAAGAATGTGATGGTTTTAGACTCATCAAGAAAATCACGGATGCGCTCAGTGGCTGCATTCTCGACTGAAGTGTGAGGAATTTTACCAGGATTCCAAGGGGCACGTTGACATTTTTAAACGGAAAGGTTAAAGCAAACAAAACTCCTCTGCACCTGATCTATTGGCAGCGCTGCCAACTGCTCCTCTTGAAGGTCAGTTGGATAACAGAACTGGCTGGATCAATTCGGATTAGCTCTGATTGTACTTGGCTGTCCTCACCCGCTCGCCGGCTCTCCCCGTCCCCTCCCCACTCTGCTTGTGTAAGTACAATTAGAAATAGGAAGATTCCATGAGGGACACGTGCAGGTAGGTCTTAACGCTGTGTCTAAATTTAGCCCTGAGCCAACACTTCCAGATGCTTCGCCGAGGATAAGTGAGCGGGAAGCTGGATCGGCCCCTCCTGATCCAATAAGGCCTGCCTGGCTTTGCAAAAGCACGCGAGGCTCACAGAGACCTCTGGGTGACTCTTCCTTAAGTCATCCGATAGTAAATAAGTCTCGGGAAACCATCCATGGTAGCCGTAAGTCGAACCCCCAGCCAGCCGCCCCCCCGGCCGCTTCACTGGAAAGTATGGGGGTGAAGTGGACCATGCCAGCGTGTCCCTTAAAACTGGCAGCAAAGAGTTTGGCCTCACGGAGTTGTTCCCAGGGAGTGATTTCAGACCGGGCTCGGCAGGCACGGGCACCCTTCCCTGGCGTGCGTCAGCCTTGCTCCAGTACGTTTTGCTTTAGGGATGATGGTCTCGTAGGGGAAAAGGTGCTCCGTCTTCAGAAAAACACGCTGGTTTCTGTCTGACTACATTGGATGGGAAGGGAAATTATGCATTATAGCTGTTGTTCTAACCTGGTTGGTTTGGTCTGTGAGCCGCCCCGAAGACTTTTTATGAGACGGTGGTTGTAGGATAAATAGATGAAGAGAATATTCGAGGTCTGTTGCCCTTGTGCTTTTCATGGGCTTGTGAACCTCCATCCTGCTTCCCTGACCTCTTGCTACACAGAGAGCCATCTCGGCTGCAGGTACTTTTCCAGAAGCCTGTGAGCAAACTCCCCAGCTGCCCCGGACAGCACCAGGCGAGGCCTGAAGGGCCCCAGCCCTGCCCGAGGGCACCTTCCGATCCGCGCGTGCCAGAAAGGGCGCCTTTGTTCCGGAGCCGCTCGCTTCGGAGTGCTGGCGCTTGCAAGGCCGCCGCATACCAGACTAAGTGGCAGGAGGGCCCCCGGGCAGCTGGGTGAGGCGAGGGCTCTCGGCCCCTGGACACAGCCCGCTTGTTCGCTAAAGTAGGGCCTCGCAGCTGGCGAGCAAAGAGGAAACTGGAGCAAGTCCGTGTTAAAAATAGAAGGGCTTCTCTTGCAGCTGCCCCTTGCGGAACACGGTTTTCCATTCCGTGCATCTGACGATAGAGAAATAGCCATTCATTTTGAACCAGTTTAATGATCTCGATTTCTCCGCTCCGGAGCTGCTCCGTGTGTGAGCAGCTCTCTTGTCGCCAGAGCGGCAGAGCGGCCTTCTGGCCTCGCCCCCAGAACCCGCTGCCGGGCCACTCTCCAGCCCGGTTTCAGCCTCGGAGCCCAGCCCTGCAGCCGCCGGGGCTCTCCCTGGAGGAGCGGGCTTGGTTCCCAGCACGGCAGCCCATGGCCGGGGCACCTCGCCTTCTGCCCGTCGCCGGGGCCCTGTGGGGCTGCCCTGCCGGCGAGGCCCTCTCCTCCGAGCCCCGCCGGCTGCCCGAGAGCCCGAGAGCTCGAAGGCCGCGGTGAAGAGAGCAAGCTGCCCTTCTGCTGGCGTACTGTGCCCAGAGGCCAGGGAATCCCTCCCTCTCCCCAGGGCTTCGGCTGCACTCGGCCACATGGCTTCGCCAGAGCGTCACACACGATGCTCCGTGCAGGTGGCTGGCTTTTAAAAACCTGAAAGCGTGTGGGAACATTTTTCAACATGGATCAAGTCTTGTGTCTCTCCTTTCCCAGCGATTTCCTTGGGATGACCTGATGGGTTGTTTTGGCCCTTGCTTGACCGAATGCAGGTTCTGGAGCCAGGAAGGGGCTGGGGCTGAGTGGCTTGGGGTGGGGGCCATGGGGCCTGGCGGACCTGTGTGAGCCGTCTTGGAATCCTGCCCTGCCGGCCTGGCTGGGTGGGGTGGGGGCTTCATCCCCACTTCTGGTGCGCTGAGGCTAGAACCGTGTCGGCTGTCCTGTTGTGGGGATGGCCTGGCTGGCAGCTGCGGTCGGGCCACGTAAGCCCCCGAGTCTCTCTTCCATTCCCACGTTGCACTCATGCCGCACCCTTTCCTCTTCGGAGGCACCCGGGGCAGCTCCCAAAGCTTCATTTTCTTCTCACAACAACCCTGTGAGGTAGGCTCAGCTGAGAGTGAGTGGCTGGCCCAAAGTCACCCAGAGAGTTTCAAGGCTAAGTGGGGCCTCAAACCCCGATCTCCAGGTCCCCAGCACCCCACCGCCCCCGCACGCCCACACAGGTTCTCCAGCTCGGTCATGCTATGAAACATCCTCCTCTTGAATCCAGGAGACTCCCTCGGACATGCTTCCAGGACCCCTAAGCAGCTTCAGCTGCTACAAGCTGTGTTCGTTTACTCCCCAGTGGCCAACTCAGAGTTGCAAAGGTGAACGTGGGCCGAAGGGCTTAAAGAAATCCTCAGTTCCCACCTCCGATTCCTCTTCTCTGAGTTCAGCTCCGTCGTGCTGCCGCTCATGGCCTTCTGAGCGGGAAGCGCTGGGATCTGCGCAACAGGCCGAGGGACCACGGCCAGGGGTCACTGTGGTGGCCAGCGCACTTCAAGCACTGATGTGATTTCCCTGGCCAGGCATCTGGAGCGTGGCGCTGAGCTGCACTAGTAAACCCGCACCGATTTCCCTCAAGGGAGGAAAACCAGCGAGTGCTTTACCAGGTTTACGGAGCGGAGAAAAGGCGCCGTCTCGGGCACATGGGGGCAAAATTGGGGTGTGCAGCCCCTGGAACTGACCTGCGTCCGGTGGAAACTGTCATTTGGCTTTTGAGACTCAGATAAAATTGTTAGGAGAGGCAATTTGTAATTTGCTTTTATCACTCTGAGCTTCGGCATTAAAATAATTTAGCCTGGAATTGCACATCGCCTTTCCGAATTTATCTGCCACCCTCAGGATGCCCTTTCCTGAGGGTAAAGCAGCGTCTTATAAATGGGTTACAATTCTGCCCCGTTGCCATTTTAAGGACCCCGTTTTGACGGAGTATCTCACACTCGCTGTACTTCTGCTGCCCTCTGGTGCTTGCTTTATTCCAAAGAAGCACTTCTTTATGCCGAGTTCCTTCGACATTGCTTCTGCAGTACCGTTAAAGAAAGGCAGGCTTGGTGGAAAGACCTTAATGTACCCAGTGATGGCTAAAGAAATATACACAAACCAGCAAGAGCTGTGGACTGGCACGAAATGTCTATGACTCTCCCTTCTCTGACTTAGCATGAACTTGCAGCAGCACTTCAGAAGTCCAAGTGGGTTTGCCCATCAGCAAGAAAAGCTGCCCCCCCCCCCAGTCTTCTGAAGCACTTGGAGTAGTTTACATCCCAGGCGGTCAGAAGCAACTCTGTGGGTGCTGCTGATCGCAGAGCGGACAGCCAGCCCCTTTCTGACTGCTGACTGGGTTTATATGCAGTCCCAAAATCCAGTTTTGACCAGGGCAGAGGAAATCTCCAGCACATGGTGGAGACAACGAAGCCAAAGCTTTTATCTTTGTTCCGTGGTGCCGGGGGCAGGGGGGGGTTGCCCAACACCCCAGTGACTCATGAGGGTCCAAACCAAATCAGGGCCCCTGTGCACTTACACAAAGGCTAAAAAAAAAAGTGAGGTTTAGCTATCAATGTAATCGAGCGTGCAGACGACCCTTCAGGTGGGAATGGGTCACAGCTGGAAAGAGATAAACGTATTCGCAGCATCATTCATGGCAGGAGGGTTTTTCCTTGCTTCCTTGCAGCTGTGGGCCTGAACTCCTCTGGGCTGGCACGGGTCAGAAAAGCTGGACGGGATGGGCTTTCTGAGGTTGCAGGGAGACTCGCTCGCGTGGTCTCAAGGGTTAGTGCGCACCCTCTCCCTGTGGCTGCTTCTTTGCACAGAGCATTTCCCTGAGTAAGGAATTATTTTAACACTCTGTCCAGAAATTGGGGTGTGGAGGGAAATTAGGAGAGGGAGAGGAGGCGGCCATGCCTCGCAGAGGCACATGGGCAGCCGCTGGGGAGGCAGCTGATGCCGTGCCGGCTACTCTGGCCGCAAGGTGGGGCTCGGCTTTTGGAGGCCTGGCTCTGAGGTCGGGCAGTCTTGGATCCGGGGCGCCAGGTAATCCTAGGTCTCTCCCAGACGGTGCTGGGAGGGCACAGGATTGCGCTTTTAAGAACGGATTCAGGCAGAACGCGATCACCAACATGACTACTTATTCTTGATAAATACCACAATGGCAAGGTTTTAATAAAACAACTGTTGACAAGTTTCTGGAAATGAGGACGCTGCAGCCCACTGCTTCCCTAACTTCGCTCCAAGCGGCTGGAGAGGCCTCCGGTCAGCGGAGTGGTCAGGTCCTGAACCTCGCTGAGCGACTGCATCAGGATTTGCTGCTGCAGCATCTGAATGAAGAGCTGCAGCTCATTCAGGAGTTCGCGCATGTAGGAAAGCTTCTCCTCCTGCGTCATGTCATTGGAGGGGTCTGACAGCCGGGCCACCATTTCTGATAGTTTCTGTTGTGTATTTAAAGCTGTAAGTGTGAGATGGTCAGTTTTGACAAGTTGTTTTTCTGCAGCTTCCGCTGCTCTTCTCTTTCGAAATGTCCCCGTTTGTCTGCTCTCTCTTACTTTCTGCTCCTTTGTTTTTAGCATGTTCGGCAGCGCATCTTCCAAACTATTTTCTTTTTTACGGGAAGAAAAGCTTCTCTTCACTCTTCTTGACAAATTAATCCGGGCACTGCTTGGGGCAAAGTAAGAAGACAAACTGTAGCAAACGCTACGAAACAGCCATCAAAGTGTTCTGAAGAAAGAAAGGGTGCTTTCCCCGCGTGTGTGGCGTTTTCTCTTCTGCTTTCCTTCGGTCCTAACACTTGCCCGTTCTTGATATTGTAAGTGATTATTCTCGTTAATATTTTTCCCCAAACCAGCTTTCCTTTCTTTTCTGTCTTTGGAATATTTTAGATTCCTTGTAAGCAAAATGCGTACTTCTCACACATCTAGAATATTTGTTCTGTTCTCTGTGTTTCTGCATTTTGTTGTCACCACCGTATTTCTAAAATATCATACATACTTGCCTTTTATCAAATTTCTGTGAGTCAGAATCCCGTCTGTCTGCGGGCCTTGACTTTACTCTTCTTTCCACGCCTTGTACAAACCTTGAACTTCTTTTCTTGAAAAAGCTTCTTTTTGTTTTATTAGAAGACCAGCGCTTCTTTTTCTGCAAAACACCAACACCGTGGAAAGCATCCCGACATATTTATAAGCAAGCTTGGACGCAAGCTAGGACACAAATCGCTCAGATGCACCCTGCTCCTCAAAGGCACCCTCGCCCTCCCTTCCGGCAAGGCTCGCAGGCCGCTCTCCCTCTGCCTCTCTCATCCACGCTTTTCCGCAGACGCCCTCGGGAACGGCTGCTCGCTTGGGGGGCCGCTCCCCTCTTGCCTTGCTGCCAGCTTCCTTAGTGGGCCAGAATCAGGGCTACTGGAGGAGTCTGAGGAGGCGGGGAGTGACCGGGCAGAGGAAAAGACGACGCGCACCAGGAGTGATCAGCCGGTAGTGCTATGGGGCTATGGGGCAGAGGCCACGGAGCGAAGGGCAAGCCGGCCAGCTGCAGGAGCAAACTGCACCGGCCCCGGAGGGGGAAGGGGGGTGAAACGCACAGGGAAGACGAAGTGCCGCCCAGGCCTGCAATGGGAGGTTCCGGAGCACAGAGCAGAGGCCTCTCGGTGACAAGAAGGGCTGGGTGAGCCTGCTGGAATTCGTCTGCTGGTGACTGACTGATAAGGCCTTGTCGGGTGGCACGTAGGGGGACGGGGAACAGTCCGCGGAGGCTCGCGGCCGAGGGCCCCCACTGAGTGGAGGAGGAGCAGGAGAGCCCAAACTGCCCGCCAAGTGGCTGGGAGCCAGACTGGCTTCTGCTCGGGAAATTGCAAAGATCACTTCCCTGTTCTGTTGGGGGAGCGGTACGAGAGACGCCGCATGGCCCTTCTGCCTTCTGTTTCCCCCTGTGCAAAATTAAAGGCAGAGCGGGCAGGGGGGCAGGCTGACATTAACGTCCCAGGAATAACCCTGAACCCGGAAAATTCTAACGTACACTATTAATAAAGTGATTGATGCCAATCCTGCCTGTGAAAATTTCTCGTTCTTTTACACCATGCTTTACCTTCCATGCGAAATGCTTCCAAGGCATAGCACTTGCAGGCTGCAAGTCACTCAGAAACTCTGACATCAGTTCATTAAATTCCGGAATAGCCTGTGGCATATAAGAGCCCAAAGGTGCCTCTACTGGAAAAAATTACTGTGAATAAAAGCCTTATTCTAAGAACATATTCATCCAAATCCTTCTCTTAAAAGCAATAGAATTAGACAGTAGGAGAAGCCATGGCTTGATGCGTCATGTGAGCTTCTCAGAAAAGCATATTTTCTTGTATGACCACCAAATATTTATCACGCATTTAAAAGGAACCACATAAAACAAGTCTGAATTAATATTGATGGGTTGAAACCATTTACTAATACTGCAACCTTACTATAAAATTCCTGGACAGCACTGTATGACAAGGGATGTTCTGTCTTAGAACATCTAAGAACGCTTAGCCCCTAAGAGTTTTCTTAGTTTTCTAAGTTTTCTTAGCCCCTCTTCTGAATCCCTTACGGGAACAACCACTGCTATCCAGGTCTGCTCAGCAAAAAGTCACTTTAAGCAACCCCTTCCCTGCTCTCCTCCTGGCAATGTTCTGGTTGATCACCTTGACACACATATTTACAAGAGGGGTAAACGCTGTTTCCATACCTGATTCCCTTTGCAGTATGATAATATCAGGTTGCTGTGTCTTCATGGACTCAAACTTATCCAACTGTTTAAATCTAGCCTTTAAAAAAACACCACAAAAGGGATTCATAAAATACTGCATTCAATTACTGAGAGAAAATAGTAGTAACTGTGTTTGCAGCCTCATAAGAAAATGCAGCCAGCCAGTTAAAATGAAAATGGTTTTCCCCTGGGCATCCCTGTACTTTGCAGAACAGAGCAATTCATATAGTATTCCTAACAACTTTTCCCCAAGAACAAGTTCATGTTGGGCTTAATATGGGAAGTTATCATGATTTCTTGACAAATTCCAACATGGGCATAAAAATAAGTTTACTTTTGGCCTGTCCAATTTGCTGTGGAAGAACACTTTGGATGCAGTGAACAGAGGCAGCCATGCTGGGCCGCACAGGTATGTCAACATCTCACAAACGATGTGATCCCAGGTGGCATAAGCACAAACGCAGTACTGCAACTAGGATAAGAATGTAAAGATCACTTGTTGTTCACTTTTGATTTTTTGTTTAAAGAATTAACAAGGTACACTTTGCCTTTCCGGGCAGCCCGGGGAGGCAAACATTAATCATATACAAAAAGATCATCCATAAAAAAAATCAGTGCAGCAGAAGACACACAGATGTTCCTTCAAATTTATACTGTCTTAGACGTTAGCTTTTAGCCAAATGTTCAGGACCAGTCTTTGTCAGGCACTCGCCTTGCAAAGGTGTGCTAGAAGGTCATCTGTGGGAGAAGTTATTGCAAAAATTACAAAAAGGGATGAGTGCTAAGACGGACGTAGCTGGCGGGAGGCATTGTATGAAAAGATAAGGGGTGCTAGTTCAGCCAGCAGGTCAGGCATGATTGACTGGGGTTGCCCAGAGCTAGGATCCCTGGAAACATCCCAGTGGGGAGCCGGAGTTTTCCAGATTATTAGCACGGGGCTGGCTGGACAGCATGGGTGTTTGTGTGTTCAGAAATGACGGAATGAGCTGATGAATACAAATTCCAGTTCGACTGGCTTAGGGCACAATCTGGGGAGTGTTTCAGCAGGAGCAAGCCCTGGGCAGAGAGACGCAGGAGGCCGGCAGGCGAGGGAATGCTGGGAGTTGAGCGCTTTTTCAGTCTGAGCATCCAGAGCCTGTCCGCAAGAATCATGGACGTTCCCTTCTTCTGGTTTCCTCCATCGCTCCCCCAGGGTCCGTCCCATCGTGCAAAAGACTGTGACTGACTAAAAACAAGACATAGTTTTACCTGAAAGTGCACTCTGCCACCTGAAAGGGGGAAAGTTGCAGAATTTAGCAAGGGGGTTAAAAGAAAGCAAATTTTACATACTTACATATAATTGCTTTAAGAATTAAAACAGAATGCTCATCTTTTTATGAAGGCGATATAAAATAGCTGCATACTGAGCTAGCTACGTTAAGTACACACCATTTCGATTTAGCTAAGCCGTAGGAAAAAGATACAAATATTTTATTTAAAAAGTCGCTGTGAATCTGCCAGACCATCTTTGGAATTTAGTGCCAAGAAATTGACCTGACCTGACCTGACCTATGTTAACGCATTTGAACCCAAGTATCTTGATGCTTTTAAAACAAGCCCAACTTCCTTCTCTAAAGGAAACAGCACCGAGTTCCGTCCCAAGGGGGTGTGCAGAGGCTTGGCACACGTCGGCTGGCAGGCAGCCAGTCCAACAGGTGCGCCTGGATGGGGCGCAGCGCATCGCATCGCATCGCGCTCGGGCGCCGTCCTTCGGGAATCTCGGCCGAGGGCTCCCAGAATCGCGGCTCCAGGCGCCCGGCCGCCCCCCGCCGGCAGCCCGGGCTGCTCCAGGGCTCCGCCCGGTGGCCAGCGCTGGAACGGCCGCTGCAGGACGGGCGACGCGGTGCGCGAGGAAGCGGTGCGGGGGCCGGCGCTTTCCCCGTGCGCCGGTCTTCCCGGGAGCGGTGGGTGGCGCCGCTCATCCCAGCAGCCGCCGCTTGCGCCCGCCCGCCCGGCCCGGCAGCGAGGCCTTCCTGCCGCTGCAGCGCCCTGCCGCCCCCCCCCCCCCCCCCCCCCC